AAGTTTTTATAGAATTTATAGATATAAAATAAACAGTTTATTATTTTTTTAAGAGTTTTTTTAAAAAAAAAAGTAATGGAATGTATTTTTTTTTTTAAAATAAAAATGGGTAGTTTTGGTTTTGATCATCAATCAATTTTTTATATTAATATTAATATGTTTAATATCCCGGATCTGCATATTAAAAATCTATCGTTGATCGGCGGACCACGAATTAATGTGTACGCGTCGATCAAATAACAAACTTCTTTAAAAAAAAATGTTGTTTGATGACAAAAAAAACAAAAGCAGAAGACAAAATGATTCTGGAGTCACTGGGTAAGTATTTTAAGGATGGTGGTAGTGGTTATTGCCCACCACTTGTCGTTACTCTAGTTTAATTATGCGTTTGATAATTGATGATTTGATTTCTTCGTATATATTTGTATGGATTAGGAGGACACTTCAAAATAAGGAAATTGGTTACAATAACATTAAATTCAATAATGATGAAAAGGCATTTATTTAATGAATTTATTATTATTTTTTATTTCTTTACACAAACAATCATTACTGATGTTTTGATGTCATTTTGTCCAGAAACAAAAACACAGCAGACCATCTACACCCAATAAGCCAGCTATTCAACCAAAACTAAAACAATTATACCCTCATGTTGCGTTCACAAAAAGAGTAAAGGTTGCTTGTGACAAAGAGAACCGGATGGCTGTTCTTGTCAATCAACTGATAATAGAAATAACATTGGCAGTCCTACTGATTTTTTCTGCTTCAACAATGATTTTGATCTTCTGTTTGGTGAGATCAGTGATGGTTATAGGCAATAAATACAAACCATCAAGATCATATGATTGGAGATTTGGAAAATAAAGGATCAGATTATAAACAACTTCACATTCATTTGGATATTAGTAAATGATTTCCAAGAATTTTAATAAAATTTTAGAAATCCATTAATATAAAAGTTAAATGCTATTGTTTGTTCATGTGATGAGAGCTCATTGAAAATCTTTACAGGAATGTTGGAATTGAATAGCTATTTCTCAAGAGATGATGAATGGACCAGGATTTGATAATTCAATAATAGATGGATGATGTTGAATCCAAAAAAATTACTTCAAACATTAGTTCCAAAAAATTTCAAGTTCAAAAATTACCATATTAATATCTATCTATCTCAATAGCACATGCAATATGCTTGTATGCACAGGGACAGTTTGATATTGTTAAATTCACGATTTTCACATTTTTATTTAAATATTCATTCAGTGAAATTCTTCATCAAGCTTGCAAGTTAAGCTTTCATTAATTCAATTAAACCTAACTCATATTTTACTTGATCACCTGTTGCTATTGGTGGATAGAGAGAAGGATTTGGTTTGAAAAAAGGTTCAATAGGCTTTAAAAGATTGTCACTGGCAATGTGTAAAAAAAAAGTTGAAGAAATTCTCCATAGTGGTCTATTTGGTCTAATTTTCTTTGCATCTTCAATAGCCTAATATAATCAATGAATGAATAGGATATATAAATATATTTAAGTTATAAAATATAAAATATTGTAAATGTTTATTTATGTATGTTTGATTTATTTTGTTACCTTGATTGTGGCCTCTGTTACAATAACCTCATGATAACCAGCCTTGACCTCACCACCAGTCAACCATTCAAGCTGTTTGCCAGCCTGAACTAAAAGATGCCCATCTGGAACACGAACATTTATTTTTTCTGATCCATTGCGTGGCCATATATTCAGTCCAGGAAATCGTGATTTACCATGAATAGTTCTTTATGGGGATGGAAATGAAAACAGTGGTTATGATGGTGATGGTAATGATAATGATAATGCTGAACAAATATTATGATAATATTAACTTAATTTTCACATACACAAAATTTAAATCATAATGAAATCCTAAATTCCATAAGGTGTAAAATATTGTATTCAATATTAAATTTTTTTTTAGAAAAAAAAACTATACACCAGAAAAATTATTTTGCCAATTCACCAGCTAATATGGTTCCAAGTTTTCCATATTTGTTTAAATCACTTCCAGTAGGTGCTAAAAGATGTGGTCCTTTTTTTGTAAGATCTGGTAAATAACTTGCAGCCATTCCAAATCCAACAGATGTCATTTCCACCACATCTACAACAGTTTGGTGTAATTGTTTGCCCCATTGATTCATGATCGTTGACCACATATCCTTGAAAGCTATCATAAATAAAATAATATACTTTTTATACTATTTATATGATATTTGTATGATTTTCAAATATTACTAACCTTCAGGTACAACAGGATCAGAATTAAGTCGTGGAAACTTTGTTTGTTCAGGAAGCTCACCAATTCTCCAAAAAAATCTCCATTTTGGATCAGGTCCTTCTGAAATCAAAGGTCGACTTTCTTTTGGCATCTTTTTCATAAAATAAATAAATAAATAATAATAATTATTATTATATCCACTATCATGATTCATAATTATGGAAGTTTTCATGTTATATATATATATATATATATACTTGTTCAATTATCTTTTGACAATTAATATCACGATGACATTTTGGTTCTTCTATCAATTCAGGTGTTACACCAACTTGGTATCCAACTTCTGGGCGCGCATCTTTAAGTTTTGTCTTTTTTGGGGGGAGTTTCAATTAATACCACACCACTACTAATAATACTAAACATTATAATCATTATAATCACAATACTTCAAAAGGCTGATCAAAATAATCTTCAAGTAAATCCTAAACCAAATTTGAATAGAATAGAATAAATCGATTAATGATTGATTTGTTGAGAGTATATTCAATTATCATGCTTACCAAAAACCTGGAATTATCATCTTCCGTCACACGAGGATCTTTAATCAATAAGGCACCATAATCTTTTAATGCTTTTGCTGTCTATTAGATACATGTACACATGCAAATTTTACTTTCGATTCACGGTTTCTTAAAATAAAAATTATATATATAAAAAGGGAAAGAAAGTGTAAACGATTTCTATTAACTTTATGACATTCTTCAATTGCCAATTCAGAATTCTTATCTTTCAAGTATAAACCAAGATCAATAATTGGAAGACTACAAGTTATTGTTGACATTTATTATTTTTTTGGTTTATTTTGTTGTGGTTGTTGATTATTAGTTTATTGTTTTTCGTTATTATTATTAAATATTCTTTAAGAGAATAATAATAATAATATAAAGTATATGTAACACGAATTTTTATATGGAATGAATGACTACAAGGAGTTGAAGTTGATAGATAAGATAGATTGTGATAAGGATACTTGTTGTAATTAAAAAACTGGCTACAATTAGGTTGCAGAATATTTGTAAGTTTAATAATCAGGTAGTATAAACAAGCGGGCAGCATTTGGGTGTATTGTATATAGTATTTTATTCTTCTGGATAAAAAATATCACAATTAATGTTTACATCAAAATCAAATTAAGATTTAGCAATTATCCGAATTAGCCACGTGCGCAAACTTAAAATTCCAAATTCACGCACAACTTTTTGGATAGTCCAGCCAAATTGAAGGAATTGACTAATTCAACATAAAATTTTGGAGAGCATCTAGATTTTACTTCTTCACATACCTTGATCGCAAGACCTAGAACGTGTGCCAAATTAGCAACAGTTTGAGTTAAAACTATATATATATTAATATGCCTGATACCAAGAGTTAAACTCCATTTATTTTAATGATGCTTGATTGATAATCACAATATGATGGATGGTTTGTTGTATGTGGATTTTGCTTTAAACCAAAGATTAATCAAAGCTCCGAACAAACCAACAAAATCCGAACCAAATATATGTTAACTATATAATACATATTAATATAAATGAATCGTGATAAATCTTTTAAGCACATTGCTATTTATTTAAACATAAAAGTAGGCAAATAATTTTGATGATAAAATTGCTCAACGCCACAATTGTACTATTGTGTAGGTTGAGTTGTCAGGATTTCTTAACTTCTTATTGATTGTTCTCTTAATCTATGTCCTACTTTCTCGCCGATAAGTTTTTCTTTTGTAAAGGCACAAGGTGCATTTGCAAAATCACCACTATAAAGGTTTCTTATCACATTCTTTATCACTGAACACCAATACCAACCATTATCCATTGCTGATGTTTCTCGGAAATTTTCAATGGGGACTAAATTCTCCTTTTTCCATCACCCCAAATTACAGACAATTTTCAATTCTAATTGATAAAGCGATGAAGGTGGTAGATATTATTATTAAATTTATATTGGTAAAAAAAATTTTTTATGTAAAGAAATACATCTACAGGCATTCTTCCTATATGTATACTTTCTAAGCAAAAATCCCAAAAATTTTTTTTTTGGTAGAATCTTTTTTTAAGAAAATCGTTTCATTAGATATACATTACCAGAAGAAAGAGCAGGATGAAAACATTGTACTTTGTATATTTAAACCAAAGCTATCAAAAAAATATTTAGATGAAGAGTTTGTTATTTGCGAGATTCATCAAAAAGAGTCGAAAGAAAAAATCAATCAATAGACAGACGCGTTCCCCTTCCTGTTATCCCAATTGCAATGTCTGTGGTGGCAAAAAAACCACTTTTACTTCCAGTATTTTCTCTATCTACTTGTCAAGGATTTATATGATAGTAATTATTGCTTCAATTAAAAGGATACAGCACTCTTTCTTTGCCAATGCCACCATTTCCTGTTAAATTCCTCGTGTGTTAAGGTTCTATATGTGATGGTTGACTATTATTCTGTTTCAAAGGACACAGGGGATACTAATTCAACTTTTTCATCAATGGTGTAAATCCCCTGTCAAAGAGTTGAGAGTGATCAGAAATTCAGGAATAAGGAAATTAATAAAATAAAAACCGATCAAAGAATAGAGAGTTTACTAACCCTAATTACAAAAATCGTCATGTTTATTTAGTGGCTTTCTGCTCATTAACACAGACATATACAATTTAGGAACGCAGCGCCCTGACGTATAGAGGCTTCGTGGGCTCTTAAAAATGAAGAGACCGAATGCAACTTTATAAAATTTAAAGCCCCCCACCCACAGATAATTATCCATTGCATCATATCCTTCAAGTTCAGGAGGTGAGATTAACCTTTTTTCTTAAATGATATAAAAAAAAGCTTGTGCAAGTTTTAACTTGTCCACTCAGCAGCATAAATTGAACATTATTTTTATTTTCGTCATTACTATTACTATTCTCCTTGTCTCCTCCTCCTCTGCTTTCTTTAATTATTTTTATTCTCCTGGTTTATTCAATATGTTGAAAGCTCTAAAGATAATTTCAACAACTTTATCAACAGTATTACAAAATTCTAATTTATAGTTCACGGAAATGCTTCAAAATGTGTGTTTTAAACCCACCCTTCTGTTAACTTTTGATATTTCCAAATTGTTCGCAAACTACCTATTCTAAAATATATCTTGGAAGAGATACCATCTCTAGCTTTAATATTTTGAAAAAAAAAAAAATATAAAGAGAATGAATTACAAGGTTTTTTCTTTTTTATAATGTCATACATATATTCATAATATATTAGATGTAACTACTATATATCATGTGCCACAGATCACAATCTCGTGTGGGTCGGTCAGTGTAATAAATGGATCTAATATATATATGTATGTATATATATAACATTATCTTTAATTAAATAGGACAAAGAGCCAGCAAGAAACAAAGGACCAAAAATAAATTTCCAATTTTTCTGCAATAACACAACAAGACCATTAATATATGTTGTCATTTTTGAAAATATTTTCCTTGACAGAAAAATCAATCCTATAATATAATCAATCACTTCAGTCACCAAGAAAATATTCAGACAAGTTTACCTCAATTTAATGTTGGGATGTTATTGTTTCTCTTCAAAATCAACCACTGGCATCTACTATTTCTAATATTTGCACTCTTTACATTACGAAACTAGGATTTTTTACAGATTTATCTTTTGGCCATGAGTAACAATCAATCATATTGGTGACAAACATATAGTTCTTCATAGTAGCAATAATAAATGAAGTGTAGTAGAATGTAAAATCAGGCAGGACCTACCTAACATAACTTGCTGCATCAGGGAAACAAAGGGATGTGATTTCATCAGAAATACAAGGTAAGGTTGCCTGCATCATAGAAAACAAGGTATATTGTTGCATAGAGGAGTCTGGTTCCCATGCTGGATCAGAGTACCCCAGACAATGTTGCATGTTTCTTCAATTAATTGCAGCATATAAAATTGAATTGCAGTTGTGTTTGTGACATAAAAAAATTGAATTTGACTAATTACAGTTCCCATCTTTATGCATGTTACACTTTTGGTAATTGTGTGAGAGAGGAAATGTATTTCAAACAGCTTTGACAAATTAAACTTTATACCTGCTGTGCTTTACCTTCAGGTAAATATTGTGTTGTGGGCATAATTTTATTTGCTTATGACAAACTAGTTATAGTTTTCTTATTTCATTTAGCATCCATTACATTGGATGTTGTTAAATGTCATGTTGAAGAATGAATGTATAATTCAATGATGTGAATGTCAGCTCACTGCATCATAGCAGAGCATCAGGAAATTTTTTCTGACACGGATTTACATAATTATTACACTATTTACATAAGTTTATGGCAGGCCCATAATATTACACAAAAATCATGCAATTATTATTGCGAGCGTGTAAATTCCAAATTACAGCTCGGGTTGTGTCCAATAAATATATAAGATAAAGAAATAAAAAGTCCAATAAATATAACTCCCTGATTACGGCTCACAGCTCAGGGTCCACTAATCTATATTCCGACCTCTGATTACGGCTCACAGCTCAGAGTCAGATTCTGGCCTCTGATTACGGCTCACAGCTCAGGGCCTCCCTATTGCGCAATTCTCTC